CTGGAACTTCCCAATGTTCTTCTTGTACCTGATTCTCTTATTGCCAAACCAGTTGGACACCTGCAGTGGAGAGAGGTGGGAAGGGTGAAGGACACGAAGTGCTTGGCTGGGCAAAGCAGGATCCCTTTGAGACGTCATTCTGAGATGCCAGGAACACGACCTGTACCTGCTGCAGGTAACAGCACTAACCCGGATCAGTTAAACGTCACCATAGGGCTGAGCTGACCTGGCTCTGCTGCTCTCTTGGCAAACTGAGGCACAGCAAGTGACTGATGACTGCACGTATCCCGGAGCTTGCTGTACCACAGCATTGTCCCCCACCACCATGGGCCATTTGTCAGCAAAACCGGTGCAAGACCCAGAGAGCTGCTCAGGGGGGACCAAGGTCCGGTTGACTGAGGGCGAGCGGGCAGTGAGAGCAATTGTTCTTTATTTTTGGGCTGGAACAACCTTGGCAGCCCACTCACAGAATAGTGTTTGGTTGGCTGAAAATGAAAGGAATCATATAAATCAATAATGGTTGAAAAGTCACTTTGTCATGTCCCTTTGAAGATGCTGTACTGAAGCCAAGGTGGCTCCCAGGGCACCGGCTATTAACCCGCACAGGGGTCACGCCTGGAGCCGCTCAGGGAAGTTTGTACAATCTTGCTTAGGGGCTTTGTTTAACTTCAGCTGCTGTAACAGAGCTCCTAAATAACAAACCCAGTTTGGAACATGGACAATGGCCAACACGGCAGAGACAATAAAAGAACAACTCCAGCTCTGAAGGGGAAGGGACCAGTGACAGCCCAGTGGTTATCAGGCAGCCACAGGGCATAGCAGGGGCTGGGGTCCTGTCACAGCACCCACTTCAGGATCCTGCTGAGGCAGGAGTCAAATCCTGCTGTATTTGATGCAGCACAGGCTTTTGTTTAACCACAATTAATGGAAAACCTCTGGCCTTTACCAGTAATATGGAAGGCACCTTATATATCCTGCTCCCCTGATAATACTCCACCATATTCTATATATTGCACTTAATATCACCTTGTCAGTCAGAGAAGCAATAATACATTAATGAAACCCAGCAAATAATTATTGTGTACAATCAGATTATGCTTTATTAACAGTATCATAATTGAGGAATCTCTGCACATCAACTGTATTGTCCATGGATGTGCACGAGACCCCTCTGTTTATGCACGCCCCTGGACCAATCAAACAACAGCCATCACTAATAAAGGTTTATTTAATTCTCACAGTAAAATTTTAATATCACCAGCAGCCTGGGGAAGCCTCAGTGAGTGGATTTGCTTGACATCAGATCGTTTCCATTCTGCTAGTCCCAATACTTCTTAATCTTTAATATCAAGGCAATTAAAATTAATGGCCACTCATCCAGAGCCACTGTGGGCAGTGTTTCCTTGACATCAATTGTTTGATGGGATTACCTAGAGGTTAAACTAACAAGCAAGGTTTAATTGGAAGCAATGAGAGGAGCAGCGCTCGTACGTTATGTTTAACCCGCACACCACATCTAAATGAATATCCAGAAATGTTAAACTCCTCCTCACACGAGCCGTGGCACCGGGGCTGCCGCAGGAGCCGCAGCAGCCCGGGGGTGCCACAGGCACTGCCCCCTCCCCTCTGCCCAGGGACCCTTTGTGCTCCCGTGACACGCAGTGCAGGGCAGAGCGTGCCCCAGCCCAGGGAGCGTGGGGACACCCGGGGACACCCAGGGATACCCGGGGACACGCGGGAGCTGCAGCTGGGAGAGCACGGCTGACATGGGCAGCTGGACCTGGCCAGGACAGGGCCAGGGCACTGCTCCAGCAGGCTGTGCCAGGCAGGATTTAAGATCCCTGCCCACCTGGAGCACACCTCACCTGGCTTGTGCTGCAGGCACTGCCATGGTCCCAGGGAAGTCCTGGGTGCAGGGGCTGGGTTCCCATCAAGCTCCTCACCCAGCCCCGTGCTCACCCCAAACATGGAAGTTGTCTCCATTGTGAGCTGCCTCACAGCACATTTTTTATTAAAACAAACTATCTCTTCACATAAAAAAAAACAATGAACATCTTTCTCCTCTTGATCATTGAAGGCCAATTAATTAATTTGGCTTAATTGTATATTACATTTCAAACAATACTGTTGCACTGATTTATCATGTTAATTGCAACGTTAAATAAAAAGACAATAAATTATTACTGAAATCATCAAGATGCCTAATGTGGGATTTGGGATGGGGCAGGCCTGCCTCGTGTCTCCAGAGTGGGTGATTTCCTGGGATAAATCAGTGCTCATTCAGCAAGGACGCAGCTGACACAAGAGCATCGCTGCTGGAACTGGGGAGCTACAGATTCATGGATCGTGGAAATCTTTCCACTGTGTCTCCATGTTTGTAGCACACAGTCTATGTTCCACACCTAAAACATGGTACAAACCAGAAAATGTTAAAAATCAGTGTTGCACAATTACAGTCTGTGATCTAAAGCCAGGAATTTTACCTCCAGAACTATTTCATTATGCTGCAGCTCTTTTCCTTGCTCCCCACATGAAGTCCAGGGGTAAGAGCCCCTCCATCCACAGTTTTCCCTGTCCACCTGCTCACAGAAACACTCAGAAGCAGAAGGAGCCAGAGGGGTGCTGGAAACCAGCTCCTGCATCCTTTCTTTAAAACAATGTTAAATATATTCCCTTGTCAACCACATCCTTCTTTTGTTTGAAGCGGTGAAAAATGTTATTGCTGTAGTGCAGTGCCCCGCTCTGAGCACTGGCTGTGCCCTCTCTCCAGCCCGTGTGATGGACTGATGGTCGTTTGTGACACCCTGGAAGAGGCTCATCTGCAAAAGTATAAAACATCAGCCTCGCAGCCATGGTAGGGGAGAACAGACAATACAGTTTATCTCCCTCCAACGTGTGCTGATGGGGCGGCTCTAAATTACAGCCGACAATGTTCTCTGCTGAGGACATTTTTTTTTCCCCAGAATTACCTTTTCCGCACTCTTAAAAATGAAATTGTGTGAGGTGTTCATCTTAATAAATAGTATGTCTTTATGCTTTTCTTGAAAAACCTTCTCTACATATTATTTTAAACACCGATATCAAAACTGAAACCATCGATCTCCCACCTGCAATGAAACGATTCTGGGAGACAATTTTCTTTGCAGCTTAGTAAAGTGCCATGGCAGCAGGATTTCCAGTCAGCAGCTTAATCTGGGGGGAGGATGACCCAAAACACTCGCTAATTAAGTGTTTGAGGGAGAAAATGTTCTGCCATGAATCTGCCCCCAGCGTGTACAAAGCACTGACAGTACAAGAGAGAAACACTTGGGATCATCGTTAGGAGAGGCTACAGAGGAGCCTGGCTCAGCCAGGGAAAGGACAAAGCCTCTTCATCAAAGGCAAGCCAACAGCTCCAGAGTTTGGAAAGCCATCCCTTAATGTTATTTATTCCTTTTTCCAGCTCTTTGGCCCTCCAGGGTATTTGCAGCACAGGAGGTAAATGGGGCATGGTGACAGGCACGGCAAGGTCCAAGGGACACTTGGTCAAGGCTGAAAATACACACACTTACAGATCTTCCATGAAAGCCCCGAGCAAGGTGCAGCTCAGGCACTTCCTTGGATGTCATGCTTGTCCCCTGCCATGCTGCTCCTGCCAGGGTTTCAATGACTGCTCAATTCACTCCAAGTTCTGGATTGCATCCTCTGAGTTCTGCTGTCAGTCACCAGAGCAGCGTGTGGGGGCTGCTCTTTAGTGCCTGCTTAGAGCTTTTCTGCTACATGGCCTCAAAAATATACATCCTTTTCAGCCCAATTCCACCTACAAAATACCAACTAACCCTGCAGTGCTGCCATGCAGCCTCTGGAAGTGCCTTTGGAAATCAAAGATTAGAATACCCATGGTATTCATGCACTCTAGCTGTGACAGCAGATCCATCAGGAGCTCAAGCAGCCAGCTGATCACAGGCACTCCCTCTCTCCCATACATGCTCCTCTCCCATGACATGATACATGGCCCCATTTCCAGGCTTTGCCATATCAACCCGAGTTTTCCAAGTCATTGATATCATCTTGCCAGAGTGTAGTTCCAGCCATGCCAAGGGCCCAGCCCTGCATCCCTGGTGCCAGGCTGGGTGGGCAGCACTGCCCTGGGACCAGGCTGGAAACATCACCCAGCAGGGCTGAGGCTGCTGGATGCACTGCTATGGAGGGCACAATGCAGCTACTCCCATCGCTCACTCAGACTTCCTAATGGATTCAAGAAACAACTAATTCATGTCTGTATCAAATATTAAAAAGACAAACCTATATTCCTGTCACAGGCTCTCTGCCACTGCTGGGTTGTTGGACCATCTGCCTGCCTTTTATTTCATTCTACAGCATATACATTAAATCTTATCAAACAACCAATTAAGAAAGAAATCAGATCTATTAGCACTAGAAGCAATCAGTTATGGCTTCTCAAATGTTCCATCTCATTTCCTACAGTCACTTCAGCCTTATCTTGATCTGTCTTTTTATCTGTCCACACCAAGGAATCACTGAGCCCCTCCCTGCCAGGCACTCACCACTGGGAGCAGAGGGAACAGCTCTTCAGCAGGTCTGCTGGGCTTTTTCACATGTCATCTTGCCCCACTTCATTAACCAACACTGAAGAATTTTTGGTTTAAGTCGGTGTTCATGGCGTGGCCTCTCCTAACCATACAGCAGGCTGCCTTGGATCACGCTGAAGATTTCTGGACGCCGCTTACCGAAGGAATTGCCACAAAGCATCTCGTGCCAAGGACTGAAAGCAGCAGCAAGATTAAGGCTGCAGAGCACAGTGCCCTGTGCTCTCAGGCTGTTTGGCTGGTCCCAGCACCCCCAGCAGCCGCAGGGATGCCTGAGGGCACGGGAGAGCAGCCCAGCAGCACCACGGGCTGCAGTGCTTGTGTGATGCCAAGGGCGAGGGAGGAGCAATGCGAGAGGGAACAAGCTGTGCAATTTCCCTCAAAAACTTCCTGCCCGTCACCACAGCTATTTGTAAATGGACTGGGAGAAGATGCCTCCTTCCCCACCCTGTACCTTCCCTGGCACTGAGCACAGGCCCTTCCCACCCCAGTCGGAGTGTGTTGTGTGTGCCAAGGAACAGGCAAGGACACAGCAGGGCACACACACGTGCCCTGGGGCACTTCTGCCAGGGCTGCTGCTGTGGGTGCAGCCAAAGTCAAGTAATTCCAAATTTGGAGGAGCTGGGCATACTTTCATTTGGAAGTCTTCAATAAAGTGCCTGAATTTTTCATGCATTCAATGGAGGCCTATAAAGTAAATCTCAACTCAGGTCTTAATTATAAAGCTAAAGGTTGCGTTGCTAATCATGCCAATACTGCAGCCTGCAATCATTAATAGTTAACACACGCGCCGCAGGCACCATTCCTCTCAAGGAGCTGAAATATTGATAAGGGAGCTGAGGGAGCAGCCAGCACACCGGCCCTCGCCACAGGGGCAGGGTGGCTGGAGAACTTGGAGACAGCTGGGCACTTCCTTGCCACACAAGCCCTTCCCCAGGCTGTGCAAGCCACATTTGTGTGAGGATAACTGGGGTTTCTAGCAAACATACAGGCCACGTGGAGTGCCAAGAGGTGTTCTGCTTTTTGAGCTGCCTGGTGAAGGAAAACTCGGTGGTGTCATCAGCCTGAGCACCGCTGCAAGACGCCAGTCTGAGCTGCACAGGTACTTTGGCCCACAAGGAAAGCAGCTGCAGCCAACGACAGCACAGTCGTGGCTGGGGAGGTGCTGGGTTCCTTGCATTAACTTCACACTAACAGCTGTTACGTGTGCTAAAAGGAGCAAATCTGCCTTATGCAGTTTTGCCACAGAGAAGCCACTTGTGTCACTTCAGCATAGCTAGAGACTGAATTTCTGTTTGGCTTAGAAAAACAACTTTGAGCAATCAAAGAAATTTGGATCTATAAAGATAGATCCTAAATTTGTCAATAAACCGTCCTTTCCCTGAAATCCTGCTCAGCTGCAACAAATTCAGAGCAGAGCAAGGCTCAGCCAGGAGCCTCACTGCTGTGCAGAGGGAAGGCTGATGTGAAGTGGGGTGCAGACCTTGCCCCTTTTTATTGTTATCTTCTTCTCTGTGCACAGCACCTTTGTACCCCAGCACAGCCCCAGCCAGCACAGGCAGGCAGCCTTTCCTGCAGAGCTCAGCCACATCCCATAGCCCTGCAAACCTCCTCATGTCAACACACAGATACGGAGGGGTGACAGAGGTGCTTTGGGCAGGCCCAGCTCTGTACCCCCTGCCTCCACTGGAACCACCTCGCAGAGCCTCAGGGGGGTGCCAGCATTGCAGGGGAACCAGGGGACTGACACGCTCTGGGGGCAGGGGCTCCTCCCTGCTGCTTACCTGTGATACCGTGATGCTGCATTTCTTTGCCAGCTCTTCTTTGGCTTCTTCACTGGGGTAGGGGTTACTGAGGTGGGAGTAAAAATACTCGTTCAAGATTTCTGTGGCTTGTTTACTGAAGTTACGCCTTTTCCGTCTGAAAGGAGAAAAGGAAAACACCACTGTTGCTCCAGATGCCAGCAGGTCCCGGGCAGGGTTGGATGGGGAGCAGCAGTGTTCATTTCAAAGCCTCTGCTGCAGCACAGAACAACACAGCAGAGCTGTCCTGGCACCCTGATCCCTCTGGGCTCCCCGACACCGTGGCAGGGAGCAGCAGCAGCAACACCACGTCCTGCACCCAGCCCCAGGGCTCTGGACTCTGCCTCTGGCTTCACACCCCCACCTCCCGGCAGGGCTCACCCCATGGGAGCACACGCCACGTTCACCTGCAGCGGCAGAAACGGTGAGGCAGGTGCTGAGCCAGCAGCCTCCCTCGTGGCTCCTCCACTGCTGGGTACACAGCCCGGCCCACAGCTCCTAGCCCCCCTGTGCCAGCCTGGCAGACCTCCTTGCCCTCCTTCCCCTCAGCACAGGTCAGCCGGGCCCTGCACAGCTCCCCGGGGTGGGGATGCCACAACAGGATGGGGCGGCCGTGCCGCTGTGTCCTCACATGGCCTCCCTGAGCTAATTGGCTTCCAACAGCAAGTGGATTTCAGGGCTTTGTGAGCGAGACCCATCTGTGCCCCCTCCTGCCGTGGGCTGCACGGGGCCCAGGCGCTGGCCCACACGGGACAGGCCCCACGGGTGTCACCTTGCAGGGAGCACCCGCACGAGCTCCGGCCCAGGGCTCGCACGTGGGTTACGGTGGCAGCGCCTGCACAGCTGCAGTGCCATCCCCTCCGTGCCAGCGGCTGCGCTCCTTTACAGCACGCTCTGGAAGGCTCCAGTTAAACATTTCCTTGGAGCTCCTTCCCCCAGGGCTGCTGCAATCACCGCCGGCGCCCCAGGCCAGCCGGCAGCCGAGCGCAATCCCCAGCGCGCTCTCAGCGAGTATCACGGTGCTGCTAACTGCGCTGTGTCCTGGAGCAGGCAGGCTCCCTCCCTGGAGCTCTGTTTATCTCATTACTATGCTTCCGCTCATTTTGCCTTATTTACCTTCCTCCTTTTTAAAGAAATCACTTTAAAATGTACATCTGCAGGCTCTACCTTTGCGTTCCTGGAGCTCTCCATAGACATCTCCTCCAACTGCCTGCAATTACCCTGATTTCCCACACCTGCCAGTGACCTCCTTGTTAATAACATTATTTTGGTCTTGTTTAGCTCCTCACAGCTTTCAGGTGTGAAGCGTGAGCTGCTGGAGGAGGGAGGCTCCGTGCTGCTCCTCCCTTTTCCGCCAGGCCCTGCCAGCCGCCAGGGCCCTGCTCTGCAGACAGGGCCCTGGGAAGGGGACGGGCTGGGGATCACTATCCCACCTCATCAGGCTTCAAAACAATTCTGACTGTGCCTAAACCCCCCTCCTAACCCCTGTGTGCCCACCTCCTGGCAGCCTGTGCAGCAAGCAGCCCACTCAGGCCACCGTGGGTCCTGGGGACAGGCGTTGAGCTCCAACAGTGGTGCAGGTGCACACGGTGGGGAAAACAAGCCCAGTCTTTGCACTAAAATTTGAGAAAATACCTTGTTGCTTCTGAAAGCCTACTGTGAGGGGGTCCCTTGCACAGCAGCTGTGGCTGAAGGCTTTTGTTGGGACAGAGCAGCCTCTCCACCCATCCCTGCTGACACAGGACACCATCCCCAGTATGGCCAGGCTCTCCCAGGCTGCCCAGAAATACTGCTTCCCCCCAAAGAGAGACAGGGGCACTTGCCTCTGCCTTACCTGGCATCAAGGAACCTTGATCTTAGAATCATTACTGCTTCACAAGTGCTTTGTTTGAGCTGCATCTGGATGGAGCTGAATTTTCGATGAATGATGCCCACCATCCTTTCAATCTCCTTGGGAGAAATGGGACGTGTCCGGCTCTGTTCTCTGAGGAGGTTCATTACATGAGTGGTAAATTCATTACACGCCTGTGGAGGAAGAAGAGGCTCAGATGTGGGTTTGTGCTGTCCCACAAGGACACAAGCTCCGAGCTGGCTGTTGGGGAAGGCAGCACTGAGGGCTGGGGGACCCTCACATGGCCCATGCGTGTGGCCACAGGATCCCACCCTGTCCAGGAGACCTGCAGCTGTCCTGGGGCAGCCAGGGGAGCCCAGTGAGCATGGCCCTGCTCCTGCCTGCTCATCCCTTTCCCCATTCCCAGCCAGACCCCCGTGGAGAGGAGCAGTGGGACCAGCCCCTGTACAGCTCAGGCAGGGCAGGGTGGGAGTGGGGACCTGCACTCCTCACAGCCAGGGGGGCAATACCCCGAGCCCTGTGCCTGGGTACCCCCTGCAGCACCCAGGCACCTTTCTGGGTGGTTTCAGTGGCACTGTGCCCCAGCCTGACCCACGCTGTGTGGCCAGGGCACTGAGGGAAGGCACAGGGAGCCTCCATCACCACTCCCAGACTGTGACATGTTGGTATCAACTTCAGACTGAGCCACCACCAGGATCCCCCTGGTCCGAGCCTCCACACATCCTGCTGTGCTGACTTCCCTTTGCAGGCTGGAACCTGACAAAAACTCTGCTATCTCCCCTCTTCCCTGTCATGCCAGGCTGCAAAATATGTACGTGATATGTCTGACAACCACATTTTCAAGGATTCTCCAACATTTCAACAGATTACGTGATGGAAGGAGTTAAAAGTGAAAAGTTTATGCATCTAAAAACTCATCATTTCCTATAACATTTGCTGAACGTCTCACAACTTATTAAGTGAAGCCATCTATGAATGCAAATGCTGATTAGCAATTTGGCAATAGCCCAACATTCGCAGAATTCACATAGCTTTTCTTTAAACCAGTAGTTCATACATGATTAATTAGAACATCTCATTTATGTAGTGTGCACTTTAGCTCATTACTCTAAGTAAAATTCGTTAAGTATTTACATTTAGATAATTAAAATCTGGGTACACCCTTAAAAAAGATGCATACACTTCAGGCAAAGTGATTTTTTTTCTTTACACTACTGAAAGTAAATTACAGGCTAATTTACATCCTTGCAGCGCCCGGTGGAGGCGGCGCTCGGCGAGCCCCGGCGCCTGCCAGCCCGGGTGTGCCAGGACTGCCCGAGCTCCAGGGAAGGACTTGGACATTTCTCACCCTCACTTCCCACATTCTTTCTTTCATCGGGCACAACCCGAGCACGCAGAAGTTGAGGCCCAGCCCTCTGACCAGCAGGACTGATGACACCAGCTTTGGCTCACCCGGGCTTTGGCTCCCCAGAAGGGAGGGGGACACGGGCACCAAAAGGCAGCAGCTCTGATTGTTCCAAAATACAGCTGAACCCAAGAATTTGGCACTGGATGGATGTTCCAGGCACACAGCTTGCCATAAGCCCCCTTCTTTCAGATCCCAGGAATTCAGTTTTAAAGTACAATAAAATTGGCTACTGTTGCATTAGAAATATTTTCAGGTATGTCTTTTCTATAAGAGATTTAGCATCAAAAACTGGAGTTTGAAAAGCAAAAATTATTTTCTTGCTTTCAAGAAGCAAAAACCTTTCCCTGACTTTACTCAACTTGCCTGATGAGACTCGGTTTGGCTACAACTGCTTGGAGAACTTGGGTTTAATTCATCTCCACCAGCACCTCCCCTCTGCAGAGCTGCCTCACACAGCACAGTGGGAGGAAGCTCAGAAGACTCTGACGCTTTGTCTTGTTTCTCTTGTTTATTTATAGTATCCAAGCTACTTGATCCCTTTTCCAGGACTATTTTTCAGGCCTCTGCTTGGTGCCCGAGACATTATTAATAATGTCAGGTTATAAGTGATGGCCTTGTTAACCTGCTCAGAAACCTTGTAGGAGCAGGGATGCTCCTGCTGCCTCAGTGCTTCATCACGAGTGCACAGGAAAAAGAGAGGAAATGGCCCAAAACAATGTTGAGGGGCAGGCTGGCAGCCAGTGCTCTGTGAGGCTGGTGGTGGCTTCTGAGCTGCCACACCTCACCCCAATTCGGGGTGAATTCAGGAGACACGTGTGAACTTGGGAAGTGGGTTCCCAGCTGTTCCAGAAGGCCTGGGACCCTTACAGTACTTTTGCCTACAGCAAAAAATGTATTTCAGTGTAATTACAGCAGATAGCTTTCAATATGTCATCTCTGCTACAGGGGCTGTAAATTATGGAAGGCGCTGCCTGTGCGCAGCCATTTCTCCCGGCGCCCGGCGAGGAGCGCTGGGTGATGGCGTGACACACTTTCCATTTCTCTTTCCCTTTCTTTTTTTTTTTTTTTTTTTTTTTTTCCCTGAGTGCATTCCCCTGACTGGCAACAAATATCAGGATCAAACTCTGCCTGGAAAGCGTCTCCAGGAAGGCGCTCTGGTTCCTGCTGCCGTGGGACGGCGGCAGCGCCCGCGCCGGGCAGGATGGCGGGAGCGGCTCGCGCTGCGGGCAGGTGCCAAAGCGGGCTCCCCGCTGCAGGAGGGCTCCTGCCTCCCAGAACCTGTGGCGCCAGAGGCCGAGATGCCAAGGCCTGGCTGCCTCTCGGGCACTGCAGTGAGACAAACCAGCAGGAGACAGTTTGCTGCCAGGCTGGGGAAATCATCATATGTCTGTTGAGCAGACGTGGCTGGGTGTCAGGATCCGTGGGGAAGCATGCATGTCTCATCCTCAGCTCTACCTCTCTCTCCTGCTCCAGCAGCATTTGAGCATCCTCCAAAATTTCCTGTGGTGTGGACGGATGGCTGTGAGATTTCAGCCGAAACCTTTGTAAATGGAGCTACAGGGCAAAAAATGCTCCTGCTTCCCCCACGTCATTAAACTTATTAGAGTCCAAGGATGTTTGCCAGGAAGAGGCTGCAAGCACTGAGCTGCTGCCTCCGTGGCCCAGATCTGCCTGCAGCCTGTGTGCTGTGCCTGCACCAGCCACGTTAATGCCACAGCCACCCCTGTCCCAGCGCTGCACCCGGCGGGGCTCGGGGCTCCACGCAGGACTGCTGGGCCCTGGGGGTCAGGGGAGAACAGCACCTTTGCACAAAGACCCTGACAGGTGTTTGCTCAGTTATTTGTTCTCCACTTGAACAACACAGTGGAAGAGACAGCATAGACCAGGCAGTGCCACTGGCACCTGAGTCACACGGTGCTGCTGGCACCTGGCAGCATGTGGCAATTCTCAGTGCCAGCGGCGTGGCCGATGTGTTGGGTCACCAGGTCCCAGTGGTGAACACAAACCCACAGGTCTCTGCAGCATGCTCTTCACTCCAAACAAAGGCACTGTGCTGCAATCTGCCTGAACCAGGATTTCCCTAGCTCCTGTCCCCAAGCCTGGGCCAGGTGCTCTGCTGACGCCTCACTGCCCACTCTCTTCCAGCCTGCTCAGCTGACCTGCCGTGGCCAAGTCTGGTGCCAGAGTATCCTGCCACCTGCTCCTGTGGGCTGAGATGGCCAAAGCAGCCCTTGTCTGCCTGTGCTCCCCAACTTGCCAGACCTCTGTGTGAGACCTCATCAGGGCAGAGGGTGGCACGGAGTGACAGACATCTCTCCTCCTCTCTGCCTTCTCTGGGCCGGGCAAAGGGGAGAAACACGGGCGTGGGTGCTGCTCTTGTGCAGTTACAGACAACAGAAAACACTCAGACATGCAAGACATGCGTCCTGGCTCCAGCCAGCAGCTCCTTGGAGCTCAACAGACAACAGACTCGCATCGTGGCTGTCTCTGGGCAGAGGGCTGGGGAAGGGGAGGAAGGGTTGTGGTCCAGAGTGGGCAGTGGTGGGCACTGGCAAGCAGAGGAGAGCAGTGTCAGGTACACGAACAACTGAGAGGCTGATGTCTGACCTGTTCATATTTCTCCAGCTCTGTGTGATAGATTTGTCTGATCTGGGTCAATTTGGCTCTGTAATCTGAGTGTTCAATAGAGTTATCTGAAGACCCTCCAGAGGCTGCTGCGGCTGCAGCTGCTGCCGCCGATCCCCCACCTTTCTCTGGACCTGAGACTCCTTCTGCCAGAAGCATATTGTCTAGTCTCATTAGCTGAGGATCGGGAGGGTCTTCCTCCTGGGCTCCTCGGATGCTCAAACCTTGGGCAGAAAAGAGAGAACAAGAGAAAACACAGTCAGTACTTCTGCATCTGCCCGCTCGCTGCCCGCCTGCCCTCTGTGACACCCCCTGCCCGGGGGCCACGGGCACAGCCCTGCCCAGCACCCCAGGGGCACAGCCCTGCCCCAACCCTGCCCCTGCACCCCATGGGCACAGCCCTGCCTCTGCACCCCAGGGGCACAGACCTGCCCCAGCACCCCACGGGCACAGCCCTGCCCCAGCCCTGCCCCAGCCCTGCCCCAGCACACCAGCCAGCCCCACCAGACGCAGTCCAGCAGTGCCACAGGACCCTCTCTGCTCCCATACACAGCAGGAACAGTACCTGAGTAGGCTGTGCCAGATGTGCCAGCAACACACAGCTGCCAGGCATGGACCTGGGCACCAGCAGGGTGCTCCCTGCACTTGGGGGACAGCACAGGATTCCACATTGACTATCTCAAGGAGGACACACAGCCCATCTCCCAAGATGACCCCCCCACTGGCCAACTTTCCAACTCAAGAAAGCACAAGGCATTAATCTTGCTCTAAAATACACAATTTAAACCTGTCACCTTCATTTAAAACTATAATTCCATATAATTTCATGGGAATAATAAATATGTCTCATCATCTCTTTAAATTATTTCTGTTGCTTGTTCAGAGGTCCACAGGCACAAGCTGATGATACCACACATTGTCCCGATGTATCCCTGAGCTGGCACACACGTGTTGGGGACAGCCCTGGCACGGCTCAGGCCACCCATGCTGCAGCCAGGGAAGGTGATGCCACACCTGGGAGTCCCTGCAGCAGCAGGGGTGGTGGTGCCTGGCCAAGGGAGGGCTGCACCCATCCCTCATTGCCTCGTCTGCCAGGCCCCACTGCCTTGGCACAGCTCCTGGCCTGCAGAGCCCTAACACAGGGGTGATTTCCTTGGTGAGCTGTTCCCCTGTTTGTCACTCTCCTCCTCTGCTCTGCTGTCAGAATGTTCAATAACATCCTGGTTTTAATCCACTCAAGCTCTCCTTCCCTCCTCATAAATGATTTCTGCTGTTGTTTTTCCTTTTAGCTTCTGGACCCTTTCTCAGTCCATGTTTACTGTGCTCTATTCCAGCTGTTATTCCTCAGCTGCATTCCTGCTTTCACTATGGAACTCATCTCCCTCCCAGCATCCCATCACAGTCCCTCTCTGCTCCCAAATGCAGATACCTAGCCAAAACCTGCAGCAAAATAATTTGGTACAATTGCAGTGCTTTCTGCATCATGTACTTCCATCAACAGGCCAAAATGAGAGGGTTTCATCCCAAGTGACACCATCCACCAGGCTCAAATTAATATTCCAAAGCCCCCACCCTTCTGTATGAGCCTGACCCAGGGAGAGCGGCCCCCAGGCTTCAGCAGCAGGAGCTGAGGCTGCGCTGAGGCTGCAGGACCGGCCAGGGCCCGAAGAACCACAGGAGGAAGCTCAGGCGAGGACAGCTCGGGGTGTCGCACGGTCTCGGGGGCTGCTGGCACAGGGGTGGCACGCGCGTTCCTCTCCAGCCCACACCATGCTCCCACGCCCAGAGCATCCCGGACCCCCGCAGGCAGAGGGATGACAGAGTGTGTGTGGGGACACAACATTTATCCTGCCCCTGAGTGAGACGCATCATTCATTTGAATGGCAAAGCCACGAGTTGATTAACTAATTCTAACAAGAATTAAGCTGTGTGTTAATTCGGAGCTTTCCTTATGAACTATATGAAGCAGATCAGCACAACTAATAGTGTCTGGTGTCCCTGGGGGCAGGGGCCTGCAAAACTGATGAACTCTGTCACCGGTGAGACACGTGGCTCGTCAGCAGCAGCCCCTTGGCTGCAGGTCGAACACTCCCCACGTTGTCTGGGAAGGAGCCAGAGCATCTCGCAGGGCCCTCAGCACAGAGGAGCATTCTGCTATAGGCCAGCAATAAAGCTGCTCCTACCAGCACCTGCCTTTATAAATTACTCTTGATTTGAATACAGTGGTAATATATGTATTTTTTGACATATAAGCTCACACGCGGTGGCCATTGTTTCCCTCTTTTATCCCTCACTCTATCACCCTGTGAGTTTATTACTGTTTAGCTCACTGACCTTTCAATGCATCGAGGAATTAAGGTGCAGCAGGGACGGGAAAGAACACAACAATACATCACTCCCAGCAGAGCCACCGGCGCCAACGGCGCTGCAAGGGAGAGGCCTCGGGCAGCGCCCACCCCAGGGCCACCTCAGGGACACTCCAGGGCCACCCCAGGGCCACTCCAGGGCCACTCCAGGGCCACCCCAGGGCCACCCCAGGGACACTCCAGGGCCACCCCAGGGCCACCCCAGGGACACTCCAGGGCCACCCCATGGCAACCACCACAGCCACCCCACAGCCACCACCATGGACACACCCCAGGGCCACCACCACGGCCAGCACGGGCCCCTCACTCAGCACCCACCGGGGCCAGGACTGCTGTGTCACCCCCTCAGCACCACTCA